CACTGATTTGGTCTAGAGCTCTGCCAGTGGCCCGGTGCTAACCTGGTTGACGGATCACCGCCGGCTTCCACTGGTACTCTGCAATTTTCCTTCAAGGTGATGTTGAGTTTCGAGATTGCACTCTGCAGATGAGCTACAGAGCTTTTCGGCACAGCAACCGAAAGGGAGTCATCAGACGCTCTAGTCGAAAGTTTTTCTGGATGCCTGATCTCGGTCTGCTACCACAGCTGGGTCTGTAAAACTATTCGTGCTCTGCAGTTGTTTTCAGAGGTGGTGATGGTTTCCTGTTTCAGCTCGAGCTGCCAGCAAGCTACAGTGCTGTTCGGCACAGCAATCGAAGAAAATCATTAGAATCGCTAGTCCGAAGTATCTAGATGCCCGAACTCGGTCTGCTACCAGAGCTGGGTCCGAAAAACCAGTGCTTTTTTAAAACAAAAGATGATGGGGAGTTTCTTGAGATTTCTCGAGCTGAGCTACAGCTCTTTGGCGCATTAATCGTCAGGGAATCAGCAGAAGCGCTAGTCTTCAGTATCTAGATGCCTGAACTCAGTCTGTTTTCAGATCTAGGTCGGAAAAACTCTTCGTGCTCTGCACATTAGATGGTGATTGTTTTCTGGACCGAACTCATGCTGCAGATCAGCTACAGAGTTGTTCGCCGCAGCAATCGGAAGGAACCCGTTAGAAGTGCTAGTCCAAAGTATCTAGATGCCCGAGCTCGGTCTGTTTCCAGAGTTGGAACCAACAAACTATTCGTACTCTATTAACTTTTCCAAAGATCTGCCTTTCTTGATCCTCCCCCTCCTTTTCCTTGTTCGGCTCTTCCTCCTTCTTCCTCCTTCTGTTCCTCAGTCCTCCATCTCCTCTCCTTCCTCACTCCTTCTTCTCCTCTAGTCCTCCTCCATGAGACCGCGCCTTCGCGCGCGCGGCATGAAAGATTGCTGCGCCCGTATTGCCGAAGGTTGACGCTTTCGTTGAAAGTCAAATTGAAAGTCGAGGTCGACTTTGATTTTGACTTTCGAAGTGGGTTTCAAAGTGGGTTTCAAAGTCAAAGTGAATGTCGACATCGAGCCTTGACTTTGGGTTTCAAAGTCAAAGTGAAAGGTGATCTGGCCGGAGCCTGAGCCGGAGCCGGAGCGGGAGTCGCAGCCGAGGCCAGAGCCGGAGCCGAAGCCGAACTCGAACTCGAACTTGTCCTTTCATTTCAACGCTGTCATGTTACGTGTTGCTTTCACCAAGATGCAAGTGCGTTTCGGTGTAGCCATTGATTGCAAGCCTCTTTATAATGTCACGATGATTCGAGCAGTGTGAGATATTATCATGCGCGTATAAATTGCAGTTGTTTTCGTTCGCTCTATCTGCAGCATTTTTGGCTGAACATCGCTTGGTTCGAGAGAGGCGCAAAGCATTGTGCATTTGCTGAGGCGCAGAAGCTTTGCGCGGGGAGAGATGTTGGAAAATTGGCTAACCCGTTGCGCAATCACCTCATTGATGATAACTTTCTCATATTCGAAATCTTCCTCTGAGGTGCGCTCTTCATTGCATTGCGTGGATCATCGTGTGCACTTTTTCTAACAAGGGTCTGCGCTCTATTCAATGTTCTGGAGTTTCCTGGGCAGCGGAGAAGAAGGATCGTTCAGATCAGGCGAAGGGGTGTTCCCCTCTGCCTCCCAACATCGACGGTTTGATGAAACTTTTGAACAGAAGAATCCTGTTTACGATTGTGATGTGTGACCACGAAACTTCGAAAAACGTGGTTTGGCAAGATGACGATCGTGTTTCAGCTAGCCTGTGTACATCACATCCGTATCACGATGTGACCCGGCTTCAAGATGCAAAATGGCTCGAAGTCGAAAAACATTCAGAGAACTAGCCGGCGAGCCATTTCTTCATGCCATTTTGATTTCATTTCGGGTGTTTGCGCGATACATGCCTTCTATTCGGTTTGTGATGGCTCATTTTGATTTACTTGACACTGGAGCAGACAAAATGGAAGATCTCATTCGCTTCTGTAAATTGCTCGATGCACAATTCAAAGGATGGAAGCAGGATGTGCCAGCTCGATCAAGATATTATTCCATCAACACTTCGTCTCTGATTCCCTCTCCTCGTTGGATATTCCGTGGCGTTTCTAATGTTTATGTCTACTTGCTCTCGCCGGTTCGCAATGCTTCAGATGCAGCGAAGCATCCGTGATAATATCAGTGGGCGCCTGCAGCGCTCTCGCGCCTGACTGCAAGGCTTTGCCGAAAGTCAATGTGAAAGTGGTGCCCGCCTTGACTTTGGGTTCCAAAGTGGGTTTCAAAGTGGGCTTGAAAGTCAAAGTCAAAGTCGACGGGCTCGACTTTGACTTTGATTTTGGTTCGACCCCCCCCTCCCCGGGCGAGCTCTGGACTTTGACTTTGACTTTAGTCCAATCTTTCAATTCGCTTGAAAGTTTAAAGTCTTGGAAGCGTCGCGCCCTGTCTCGCGCGGTTTACGCGGCGCGCGGCCTGGATGGGGGAGACCCTGGGGCGCGCAGCCCGGGGCGAAGACCCGGGCAGCTCGGGGGGCGAGATCTCGGACGCGCAGCCATGGGGCGAAGTCCCGGGGCTCTTGATATGGTTTCACCTGCTTGCGTTCGCAGCCACGCCCGACCGTGTCAGGACCGCCGTGTGTTCTACTGCTCGCCTATCCGGGCTTTGGACGCCAACAAGTAGAGAAAACGCACATCACCTCACCCAAACAATTTAAGTCTGAATAGGCCGACCGATCTCATATGTGACTTGTAGAGCTTCTCTAAGAGCGTTAGCGGCGAAGCTAAACGAATAATTCCGGCGCGTTGGGGGGCTAGTTGAGAACAAATCTCGACGGAAGTTTTGCATAATTTTGCTCAGTTTAAAGAGGAATTCTGGAAATTCAACAATGCGCTAGAGCTCTCGTATTTTTCCTCGTCTTCGATCTTATTCCCGCTCGTCATCTCAATCTCAGGTTGATCGGGTACATATTACTGCCAAAAAGCATGTGGGCGGGATCGGCTGTTGAGTGTCATCTTCGCAGGTGCTGTCGGTTTTCTGAACTTAACTCGAGCTGTAGGAGAGCTACAGAGCTGTTCAGCACAGCAATCGAAAGGGAATCATCAGGCGCCCTATTCTGAAGTATTCAGATGTCCGAACTCGGTCTCCTGCCAAAGCTCGAACACTTTTTTTCTCCTTCTTCTTGTTCTTCAGAGATGATGATGAGTTTCTTAATCGGACTGCAGATGTGGTGCAGAGCTGTTCGGCACAGCAATCGAAGGGAAATATTTGGATGCCCGAAATCGGTCTGCTATAATGGCTGGATCTGACATGTCTATTCATATATAAACAAGAGATGACGAGGAGTTTCTTGTTTTAACTCGAGGTGCAGATGAGCTACAGAGCTGTTCGGCAGAGCAATCGAAAGGACATCATCAGGAGCGCTACTCTGAAGTATCTAGATGCCCGACCTCGTTCTGCTACCACTGGGTCAGAGCAAATATGTGGACTCTGCTAGTTAATGGATGCAACTCGAGCTGTAGATGAGCTGCAGAGCTGTTTGGCACAGCAATCGAAAGAAAGTCATCAGCCGCGCTAGCCTCGAGCATCTAGATGCCCGAATTCGGTGTGCTGCCAGATCTTGATCCGAAAAACTGTTCGCACTCTAAATCGTTTCTCTTTTCCCTCTCCACCCTTCCCCCTCCTGCTCGTTATCCTGCTCTGCTTCCTTCCCGTCATTCTCCTCTGCCTGCTCCTTTTCCTCTTCCTCGTTCTCTTCCGCAGCCGCCTCCATCTCCTTCTCCTGCTCACTCTTTCTTCAGCCCCGCGTTCTCCTCCATGAAACCGCCCCTCGCGCGCGCGGAATGCGAGATTGCCGCGCCCGCATTCCACGCTCCTCCTCCTCCTCCTCCTCCTCCTCCTCTTCCCCCTGCATCAGCTCGCAGAGCTTCCGCTGGCACGATGTGGCCGAGGAGGCGATGAGCTTGCCTCCAGGTAGCACGGTAAGCTGCTGTGAACTAGCTGCCTGCGCTGCCCTGACGAAAGCTGCTGCTAAGGTGGCGTGCGCTCTGCTGCGACCTACCTAAGAAGGTGAGGGCTCAGTTGCACTGTTCAGCCGATTCGGATTCGGATTCTAGTGGCGGACCGCAAACCGCAAAAAAAAAACAAGTTTGAAGGTTTACCGCCGGCTCCGAGTCTCGATACCGTAGGCAAATGTGTCCCATCATTTTCTGTTGAACGGTGTTCCGCCCGTCGTTGTAGCTCGCCGAGAGCTTGAACTAAGTGGAGAAAACGAACAAATTTGCAGAGTAGAAATAGTCTTTAAGTCCCGGCTATGATAGCAGACCGGTCCCGGGTATCTAGATACTCTAGACTAGCGCTTCTGTTGTTTTCCTTATGATTGCTGTGCCGAACAGGTGTGTGGCTGATCTACAGCTCGAGGTAAGCTAAGACGACTGTCAGTACTTGCCAAGATGACACTTAGCACCCGATCCCGCCCCGATGTTTTCTTGGCAGTAGTATCCACCCGATCGGCTTCGGATCAAGATGGCGAGCGGGAGTAAGATCAGATGGTCAAAATATTAGAACTCTAACGACTGGTTGAAATCCGAGAAATTGATTTTCAACCGACCGAAATTAGGCAAAACGTCCGTCGAGATTTTTCGAGCCGACTAGCCCGCCAGCGCGTTCGAATTACTCCTAGGCTTCGCCGCTTCGCTCTTAGGGAAACGAGTCATTTACGATCGGCATGCGCGAGAGAGGAATTCGTGGACTTCATCGCCATGTGAAGAAGCCAGTACATTCCCACGCGTCAGACTGCGTGGCGGAGGTCGCAGTGCAGATCATCACGGGGGCCCTCCGGACCATCTTCTTAACCATGCAGGAGGGCTGCGGTGTCCGGTCGAGCTCAGCACGGCCATCGTGCCGCTGGCGGTGCGACACAGCGGCTACGTGTACAACAGGTTCCAGGTTCTTCGCGGAGGTCGCACGCCGTGCGATAATCTGAAGATGTCAAGTGTCAGCTCGGCTTTGCTGGAGGTTGGGAGTGCGTCATTGGCGAGCTCCCGCGTCCGGTGGGGGCCAGCCTTGACCCGCCGTGGCGGGGGGCGCGTGGCTGGGCTGTCTCGTCGGAACCGGTGTTGGAGGCATTCAACTCCGAGCGGTCGAGGCCTGCCAGCAGAGCGACGATGGAGCATTATCCTGTTCAGGAGCATGGTCTGGGCCTCTTGGCACATCAACAAGAAGAGCGAGGTGGGCGACTTGCTGGCGGTCCCTGAGGCGGGGCCGTGGGCGCTGACAGAAGATTGCAGGGCATGCTAAGAGGATGAAGAGCCCGTGCGCCGACGCGGGCGACCGCGTGATCACGCGCGGGCATGCCTGCAGCGACGCGCAGAGCGGCGCCAAGTCCGAGCTCGATCCGGGGGAGATCGCATAGCCTATCCAGCATGGCTTCCAGCAGCCTTGAAGTACTTCCACCAGCGCCGAAGCAGCAGTCACTCCCTGGCGCAGCCCATCCGGCCCACTAGCTCCCGCAGATCAACTGGCGGCGGCTGCGTCGAATTCGTTGCCCCCGAACGGCGCCAGGATTGCAGGTGTGGACCGCGACCAGAGCATGCTGCTGGAGGCCAGGGCCAAGAGAGATCCAGACGCGCTCGCGTGCGACCAGGGGGCCGAGAGGGTCCGGGTGCAGGCGAAAACCGCAGTGTCAGCAACCCGTGCGCGGTGTGGAACGGACGCCGAGGCGACGCCCAAGCGGCAGGGGGTGATCTCTGCCGTCGAGCGGGAGATCGCCGAGCTCGAGCGCAACGAGGAGGGGCCGGACGTCTTCGAGTCAGAGCTGCAGGATGCCTGGGAGGACCTGCTCACTCCAGAGAGGGAGATGGAGTTCGAGGGCGACGAGCTTACGAGGTTGCTCTGTGTATTGGGCACTGTCAAGAAAGGGCGCGAGGATGCGACCACGTTCGCTGGTATGAGTCTTCAAGTGGGATCTGGAAGGCGGAATTGTGCGCTGAAGCATTTGGCATGGCAAAGACCAGGACGAAGTGCGCCCAGCCAAGAAGACGCGTGGATAGAACCACCGCCAGAGTGGCCGAACCCAAACGACGAGGTGTGGCACCTGCGGTGTACTCCTATATGGACTGCAGGTGGCAATTCATGATTTTGACACCCACTTTGACAACGTCGGCCAGGGGCAAATGGCCTTGGACGGCTATCCCGTCATGTAGGGGTGTGTCTCGGACCTTGCGGTGTGGTATAGCGACGATGCCCAAATGGCCAAGCTTGTCTATGATGGGACCGTCGTGGCAGACAAGTAGCCAACGGAGGAGTTTCTGCACGACCTCCACATGTATAGCGAGCTCAAGACCAACGAGTATTTTGAAGTTGGCGTGATGCAGAAGTACCAGGGCGGTCTCATCGCGCGTTACTCCGCAGGCTTCTTCCAGCAATGCCAGCCATGACGCCGTGTTTCGCTATTCAGCTGGTGTATCTTTGCAAGTTTGAGCTTGTGCGAGGTGGCCTGGCCCGTTTGAATTGAGATATCCTCGCAACCGTGGGCCCCGATTTGCCTCGCGTGAGGCCGTCCAGCCATGTCGCCTGAGACATCCTCACATCCTCGCCACTGTGCTCTGAGAGGGAGGCGTGCGGAAGTATGCAAGGCCTGGTCCAATTGACCTTTTGATTACACTTCCATTGCCGAATCCTGCCCCACTAAGGGGCAATTGCCGAACGCCGAAGCGAGATCATGATTCCTGGGTCATTTGCAAAGGAAGGATCAGGAACTTGTAAAGAAATCTCAAGCGGGAGCGCAGTGCCTGAGTAAGCGGTGAAGAAGTCTTGAGCCAGAGCGTTGCGTGGAGCCAAGAGGGAGGATGGAGGTTGGGCAGGAGGTTGGTGGGAACAGTGAGGGAGGACAGTGGAGGTAGGAGGGAGGAGGGAGAAGGGGAAGAGAGCGATGATCAAGGCCCAACGACGGGCCCGAACACGCCGGCGGCACCGAAGTGTGATCCAGGAGCGGTGCATGTGCCCCTGGCAAACGGGAGCATGAGTACGTAGTCGGTGCCGCGGCGAGGTCAGTACTTGGTCAAGAAATCTCAGGCGGGAGCGCCATGCTGGATTAAGTGGTGAAAGCTATCTCTCGCGAGATGAGGGTTATGAAGGTGAGGAGGAGAACCATTATGTTGGACGGAGACGAGGGAGAATCACCAGGAGGAACGACAACATCACGAGTATGAGAAGGAGGAGGAGGAGGAAGAGGAGGAGGACAATGAGGATGAGGAGGGGGAAGAGAGGAGATGAAGACGAGGAGGAATCATGGGGGGGAGAGGGGAAGGAATACTTAGGACGAGATGGTTTGGGATGCGGAACAGCGAGAAAGAGGGTGACGAGGAGTAAGAGGACGACGGTAACAGCGACGACACATGCGATGACGACGACAATCATGACGACGAGGACGCAGAGCGATCAGGAGCAGGAGGACTGCACATGTGGTTTTGGAAACGGTGTTTGGTGATAGATGTGGCTCTGGCTGTACCCTTCAATTCAGTGCAAGCCAAGTAGGGTTCTTCTATTTCAACACTGTTTTGGGAAGTCTTCACTTTAGCGGTTGGATGGGCTGAGTCTGTGGCTCACTCAGGCGTCTTCGGTGGCATGCATGAGTAGTTCTCGACATCAGGAGGTACTGTGTCGTCGGGTGTGCAAAACCCTGGCCCCCCCAGGCAGTTCTGGGGTAGAGTCGGCGACATCGTTGAGGCGCCCAGGAATTGGGGCTGACGTGCATGAGTTTTGAACTAGTGCAAAGGGCGAGAGGGTTGTCGTCCCATGCGATTCTTTTGCAAACCTTCGCGAGCCACACAACTGAAAGTTGGTATCGAAGCGAATGGTGGTACGCCAGTGAGAAGAATTGCTGTACCAACGTAGTCACGCCTTCAATCTAGCAGACCCGTCTTAAGGCCTCACAAGCCCATCAGACATCGAACGCACACATATTGAGGCTGTGCCGATGGTTCTGGCCTCGCAGGGCTCGTTAGTTGGGAGGCTCGCTCGGGCTTTTGCTCAGCGCCGTTTTACTTGGGGCCTCTTGGAGGCACGTTGGAGGCACTCTGGGGGTCTCTGATGTCATCTTGGCACCCACTAGGGTAATCTCGTACGCTTCAAGTGGGCAAGGCCCCGTGGTCCAGACCGTCGTGGATGGGGCAGGAGGAGGAGTAAACTCCCCGAGTAGGAACAAGGGATTGGCTGGGAACAGTTGGCACACTGAGGGCTGAATGATTTGCGACCGTCTCTGAAAGTGGGTTGCGGCGAGCCGGGGTGTCATGCATGTCTGCGCCGTTGGAGGAATTGTTCACGCCCCGCGTATCCCTGCCAGGACGCTGTGCCCGCGTCTGATCCGGGCGTTGCTCCGTACTGTTTTTCCCTCTTGCGTCCGCGCGGCCCGCCCAAGTTTGCCCGGTTTTCGACTTGCTTCGCAAGCCCGCGAACCAGAAAGTATCCCTACCAGCCCGTTCAGAAGCCTTGCCCATGAAAGCTGACGGGACAAATGGACGACGACGAACGAGGGGGTGGCCTTGGAGGGCCTTTTCGGGCCATCCCTGGGGCCTCCAGGGGGGGGGCGAGAGGATGATGATGATGATGATGATGATGATGATGATGATGATGATGATGCTGCTGATGATGATGATCATGATGATGATGCTGTTGGTGATGATGATGCTGCTGCTGATGATGATAAAAATGATGATGACGATGATGATGCTGATAATGATGATGATGCTGCTGATGATGCTGGTGATGAGGACTATGGTGATGCTGATGATGGTGATGATGATGCTGATGCTGATGATGATGTTGATGATGCGGATGATGTTGATGATGCTCATGCTGATGATGATGCTGATGCTGACCATGCTGATGATGATGTTGATGGTGATGCAGCTGATGCTGATGATCCTGATGATACTGATGGTGATGATCGTGCTGGCGCTGCTGCTGATGATGATGCTGCTGATGGTGATGACGATGCTGATGATGGTGATGGTGATGATGGTGATGCTGCTCCTGTGATGATGATCATGATGATGATTATGATGATGATGATGATGTTGATGATGATGATGGTCATGCTCATGATGATTATGATGATGCTGATGATGATGCTACGATGATGATGCCAAAGTTACTAATGACGATGCTGCTGATGGTTACGATGCTGATGATATTGATGATGCTGATAATGATGCTGATGATGGTGATTCTGATTGTACTGATGACGTTGTTGATGATTATGATGATGTTGCCGATGATGATGATGCGGATGCTGCTGGTGATGATGTTGATGATGCTGATGCTGATGCTGACGATGATGATGCTGCTGGTCATGATGATGGTGATACTGGTGACGACGATGACGATACTGATGCTGATGATGAGGATGATGATGCTGATGCTGATGATGCTGATGACGATGTTGGTGTTGATTGTGACGATGATGATGATGATGATGCTGATGCTGTTGTTGATTGTGACGGTGACCATGCATATTATCAGTGTGATGATGATGCAGGTGATCGTGATGGTGACACTGATGGTAAGGTTGATGATGATGATGCCGGCTCTGATGTTCTGGTGGTGATGATAATGATAACGATGATGATACGGCTGCTGGTGATGCTGATGCTGATGATGTTGCTGATGATGCAGCCGATGATGATGATGATGCTGCTGCTGCTGATGATTATGATGGCGATGACGATGATGATGATGATAATGATGATGATGATGATGATGATGATGATGAGGATGAGGATGAGGATGATGATGATGAGGATGATGAGGGGGGACGAGGAGGAGGAGGAGGAGGAGGTGGAGGAGGAGGATGAGCAGGATGATGGTGATGATGATAATGATGATGATGATGATGATGATGCTGATGAGGATGAGGAGGAGGAGGAGGAGGAGGAGGAAGTGGACGAGGAGGAGGAGGAAGACGACGACGACGACGAGCTCGGTTGTGTGTTTAAGGTGCTCATGTAGTAGCGTTGCATCGAAGCCTGTCTCATGGCACCTCTACAGCATGGTAACATTCGGTATCGTCTACAGGCAAGCAACATGCGCCCCCTGGGAAGTCCTCACGGCCAGCGGTATCACGTCATTGCTTATACGTTGCATCTGGTGCTATGGCCTTTCTCCTCGGTGGTGCACGTTGTGCTGGACTGTCAGCTACACCCTTGGCATGCCTGTGTGTGCTTTAGTTTTGTTTATCGTGATGCTCGTCACGTGTGCCTTGTATCGTCGCGGTTTCCGCAAGGTGGCCATCACGAAACCAGGATGTGCAGTACTTCGGAATACAACGGCGTCGGCAAAGGAAACACACAGTGGAAGGTGTTTTTTTGTGTCCGTCGTGCTAGCCTTGTTCCAAACCAGTGAGCGGACCTACATCGCATAGTCGTCATGTTTAGCGAGAATGAAGACTGCGCGATCTGGCGATTATATCCGCCCCAGCAAGATAGCAGCAAACGCGTTCGAGTCATTTGTCTCGTTGTCGCCTTTTGGCTGCTCGTGCCCCGTCTGTTCCAGTGAGGCGCCGCGCACGGGCGGCCATGGCGCAACCCCTGGTGCCTGGCCTATGCTCGTGGCACGCGCTTGCGATTAATCGGCCCAGGCGGCGACGGGTCTGAAGAAGGAGCGGTAAACGTGCAATCTCTTGCCATCTGCGTCTGCTTCGTCACCCTCTGCGTCTGTCCCATCTTCGCCTGCTTCGTGCCGCTGCAGCCCCGCAGCAACCGTTTGTTTTCCATCCGTTGGCAGGGCACTGCGTTCCATTGCCTTGTGCGGCTGGCGAGTATTGTTGGTCTCGTGGGCTGCCAGACCCTGACGGAAACCTCTTGACTTGAAGTCCAAATTCGTGGTTGCCCATGGCTGCAGAACTTTGGCTCATGGGATGGGCGATTGCTCTCTCTCTCTCTCTCTCTCTTTTTTCCTCTCTCTCTCTCTCTTTTGTCTCTCTCTCTCTCTCTCAGTCAGCGTTCAAAACAGAGTCGTGCACATTCGCATTCTGCTGCTGTTCGAGCCCTTTCCTTCGGGCTTTTCAGATCTTTAAACTTCCCACCGTGGCTTCCTGGTCTTCTGTTCCTTGCCTCTCTCTACGTCTCCCTGCGTGGC